ACTGTCAAATTGTCAACAAAATATCCGTTAATGACAAGAGTGCAGTAAGTATGCGTATCTGAAAGCCTAAGAAAGTAACAGAAAAGAAAAATTAGAAACTACGATCCAGAATTCAAAATTCAAGTAGATAGGGGTAAAAGTCGTTCGAAAAACTGTTAAATTGTCAACAAAATATCCGTTAAAGACAAGAATATACTAAGTATGTTTACCTGAAAGCCAAAGAAAGCAAGAATAAAGAAAAATCACAAACTACCACATGGAACTCAAAATTCAAGCAAATGAGGTTTAAGGTCGATCGAAAAATTGTTGAATGGTCAACAAAATATCCGTTAATGACAAAAATACACAAAGTTTGTTTATCTGAAAGCCAAAGAAACTGGCAGAAAAAATAAATTAGAAACCATCACTTTTAACTCAAAATTCAAGCAGATCGGAGTAAACGTCTGTCGAAAAACTGTCAAATTGTCAAATTATCCGTTAAAGACAAAAGTACAGTCAGTATGTTTACCTGAAAGCCTAAGAAAATAACGGAAAAGAAAAATTAGTAACTACGATTCGGAATTCAAAATTCAAGTGGATAAGGGTAAAAGTCGTTCGAAAAACTATTAAATTGTCAACAAAATATTCGTTAATGACAAGAATAAACTAAGTATGTTTACCTGAAAGCCAAAGAAACAAGCAGTAAAGAAAAATCAAAAACTACCACTTCGAACTCAAAATTCAAGCAAATGAGGTTTAATGTCGATCGAAAAATTGTTAAATGGTCAACAAAACATCCGTTAATGACAAAAATACACTAAGTTTGTTTATCTGAAAGCCAAAGAAACCGGCTGAAAAGACAAATTAGAAATCATCACTTTGAACTCAAAATTCAAGCAGATCGGAGTAAACGTCTGTCGAAAAATTGTCAAATTGTCAACAAAATATCTGTGAATGACAAGAGTACAGTAAGTATGTGTCTCTGAAAGCCTCAGAAAATTACAGAAAAGAAAAATTAGAAAATACGATTCGGAATTCAAAATTCAAATAGATAGGGGTAAAAGTCGTTCGAAAAACTATTAAATTGTCAACAAAATATCCGTTAATGACAAGAATATACTAAGTATGTTTATCTGAAAGCCAAAGAAATCAACAGTAAAGAAAAATCAAAAACTACCACTTGGAACTCAAAATTCAAGCAAATGAGTTTTAACGTCGATCGAAAAATTGTTAAATGGTCAACAAAATATCCGTTAATGACAAAAATACACTAAGTTTGTTTATCTGAAAGCCAAAGAAATGGCTGAAAAGACAAATTAGAAACCATCACTTTGAACTCAAAGTTCAAGCAGGTCGGAGTAAACGTCTGTCGAAACACTGTCAAATTGTCAATAAAATATCCGTCAATGACAAGAGTGCAGTAAGTATGTGTATCTGAAAGCCTAAGAAAGTAACAGAAAAGAAAAATTAGAAACTACAATCTAGAATTTAAAATTCAAGTAGATAGGGATAAAAGTCGTTCGAAAAACTGTTAAATTGTCAACAAAATATCCGTTAATGACAAGAATATATTAAGTATGTTTAACTGAAAGCCAAAGAAACCAACAATTAAGAAAAATCAAAAATTACCACTTGGAACTCAAAATTCAAGCAAATGAGGTTTAACGTCGATCGAAAAATTGTTAAATGGTCAACAAAATATCCGTTAATGACAAAAATACACTAAGTTTGTTTATCTGAAACCCAAAGAAACGGCTGAAAAGACAAATTAGAAACCATCACTTTGAACTCAAAGTTCAAGCAGGTCGGAGTAAACGTCTGTCGAAACACTGTCAAATTGTCAACAAAATTTCCGTCAATGACAAGAGTGCAGTAAGTATGTGTATCTGAAAGCCTAAGAAAGTAACAGAAAAGAAAAATTAGGAACTACAATCTAGAATTTAAAATTCAAGTAGATAGGGATAAAAGTCGTTCGAAAAACTGTTAAATTGTCAACAAAATATCCGTTAATGACAAGAATATATTAAGTATGTTTAACTGAAAGCCAAAGAAACCAACAATTAAGAAAAATCAAAAATTACCACTTGGAACTCAAAATTCAAGCAAATGAGGTTTAACGTCGATCGAAAAATTGTTAAATGGTCAACAAAATATCCGTTAATGACAAAAATACACTAAGTTTGTTTATCTGAAACCCAAAGAAACGGCTGAAAAGACAAATTAGAAACCATCACTTTGAACTCAAAGTTCAAGCAGGTCGGAGTAAACGTCTGTCGAAACACTGTCAAATTGTCAACAAAATTTCCGTCAATGACAAGAGTGCAGTAAGTATGTGTATCTGAAAGCCTAAGAAAGTAACAGAAAAGAAAAATTAGAAACTACAATCTAGAATTTAAAATTCAAGTAGATAGGGATAAAAGTCGTTCGAAAAACTGTTAAATTGTCAACAAAATATCCGTTAATGACAAGAATATATTAAGTATGTTTAACTGAAAGCCAAAGAAACCAACAATTAAGAAAAATCAAAAATTACCACTTGGAACTCAAAATTCAAGCAAATGAGGTTTAACGTCGATCGAAAAATTGTTAAATGGTCAACAAAATATCCGTTAATGACAAAAATACACTAAGTTTGTTTATCTGAAACCCAAAGAAACGGCTGAAAAGACAAATTAGAAACCATCACTTTGAACTCAAAGTTCAAGCAGGTCGGAGTAAACGTCTGTCGAAACACTGTCAAATTGTCAACAAAATTTCCGTCAATGACAAGAGTGCAGTAAGTATGTGTATCTGAAAGCCTAAGAAAGTAACAGAAAAAAAAAATTAGAAACTACAATCTAGAATTTAAAATTCAAGTAGATAGGGATAAAAATCGTTCGAAAAACTGTTAAATTGTCAACAAAATATCCGTTAATGACAAGAATATATTAAGTATGTTTAACTGAAAGCCAAAGAAACCAACAACTAAGAAAAATGAAAAATTACCACTTGGAACTCAAAATTCAAGCAAATGAGGTTTAACGTTGATCGAAAAATTGTTAAATGGTCAACAAAATATCCGTTAATGGCAAAAATATACAAAGTTTGTTTATCTGAAAGCCAAAGAAACCGGCAGAAAAGACAAATTAGAAACCATCACTTTGAACTCAAAATTCAAGCAGATCGGAGTAAACGTCTGTCGAAAAACTGTCAAATTGTCAACAAAATATCCGTTAATGATAAGCGTGCAGTAAGTATGTGTATCTGAAAGCCTAAGAAAGTAACAGAAAAGAAAAATTTAGAAAATACGATTCGGAATTCAAAATTCAAATAGATAGGGGTAAAAGTCGTTCGAAAAACTGTTAAATTGTCAACAAAATATCCGTTAATGACAAGAATATACTAAGTATGTTTACCTGAAAGCCAAAGAAACCAACAGTTAAGAAAAATCAAAAACCACCACTTGGAACTCAAAATTCAAGCAAATGAGGTTTAACGTCGATCGAAAAATTGTTAAATGGTCAACAAAATATCCGTTAATGACAAAAATACACTAAGTTTGTTTATCTGAAAGCCAAAGAAACCAACAGAAAAGACAAATTAGAAACCATCACTTTGAACTCAAAATTCAAGCAGATCGGAGTAAACGTCTGTCGAAAAACTGTCAAATTGTCAACAAAATATCCGTTAATGACAAGAGAACAGTCAGTATGTTTACCTGAAAGCATAAGAAAGTAACAGAAAATAAAAATTAGGAACTACGATTCGGAATTCAAAATTCAAGTAGATAGGGGTAAAAGTCGTTCGAAAAACTGTTAAATTGTCAACAAAATATCCGTTAATGACAAGAATATACTAAGTATGTTTATTTGAAAGCCAAAGAAACTGGCAGAAAAGACAAATTAGAAACCATCACTTTAAACTCAAAATTCGAGCAGATCGGAGTAAACGTCTGTCGAAAAACTGTCAAATTGTCAACAAAATATCCGTTAATGACAAGAGTACAATAAGTATATGCATCTGAAAGCCTAAGAAAATAACAGAAAAGAAAAATTAGAAACTACGATTCAGAATTCAAATTTCAAGTAGATAGGGGTCGAAGTCGTTCGGAAATCTGTTAAATTGTCAACAAAATATCCGTTAATGACAAGAATATATTAAGTATGTTTACCTGAAAGCCAATGAAACCAACAGTAAAGAAAAATCTAAAACTACCAGTTGGAACTCAAAATTCAAGCAAATCATGTTTAATGTCGATCGAAAAATTGTTAAATGGTCAACAAAATATCCGTTAAAGACAAAAATACATAAGTTTGTTTATCTGAAAGCCAAAGAAACCGGCATAGGATAAACGCTAATCGAAAAACCGTTAAATCGTCAACAAAATATCCGTTAATGACAAGAATATGTTTAAGTGAAAGCTAAAGAAACAAGCAGAAAAGACAAATTGGAAACTACCACTTTGAACTCAATATTCAAGCAGATAGGAGTAAACGTCTATCGAAAAACTGTTAAATTGTCAACAAAATATCCGTTAATGATAAGAGTACAGTAAGTATGTTTACCTGAAAGCCAAAGAAATCAACAGATAAAACAAGATAGATGTACATCAACTGAAAAATGAATAAGTTTTTGAGATGACGTCGTTCACTTTCTAAGTTTGGACAACATTTTCATAGAAGTTGTGACAGATTTCCCTATTGTAGATCACATCATAAACCACGATCGAACCTGTTGACCCCTTGGAAATTCGACCGACGATTAAACGGTATTTGTCGCCAAAATTCCCACCCCTGCATGTACGACTAAACTACTACGATTGTAATCACTTAACGTCTGTTATCCCCCCATCTACCTTCCATTCATCCAGCACTCCACACCAATGCTCACGCTTATCCCAATCTCTCAACTTGCCCCATTCACAATGACAGCGAAAACTATAACAGCGTGTCACACAGACCTTTCCTTTCCACTTCACGTTTTCTACCCACAATTCAATTAACATGAAATGTGCAATATGTAGCAATTTGAAGCGGGCTTACTTTACCATGCAATACGATCCTGCATATTAATTATCCACCTCAATGACCGCGTTTCTCTTCGTGTCAATCTGCTTACATTTCACCAGTACGGCCACCGTCCGCTTTCATTGTACTTAATTAGAGCCTATTCGAACACACAAATCGGACCACATTCGAACAAACCTAGCCAATTGAGTTCAAACGTGCTTGACACTTGCAGAATGCTTTAATAACAATCATAATGCAAGCATAAACTTCAATTAACAGCAAACTTCTTCACACTCTTCCCCGTTCTAATTACCGCACAGATATACGATAAACCGCGGATGAAGGTTACGAAAATTACTCATTTCCGCCGCGACACCACGTTAAACGCCCAGGAACTCCAGATTGTGTGTGCTCGAAAACGAAGCGTTTTATTTCCATGGAAGTGGATCGCCGAGATTATTACTGAAATATGCGGTTTGTGATTAAACAGAAAAACGGAAACTCGAACGAACGCTGCTTTATCTCCGACGAAAGTGAGTCTGGAAAATTGATGATGCGCTTTTCGCACGACCTTGAATGTGGTAATCTTTATAAATACAATGTGTTTGGAAACAATGATGGTTTGTTAGGCTTTCCTGACCTACACATCAAACAATGGCAAATAATGGTGTTTGTTTTGTGTCATCGGTTGATGTTGTGTGCGTGGATATGTTATTTTGGGATGGGAGCCTTGATGAGTAGAGCGTGGGTGTGTGGGTGGCGGTTAAGGTCGCTATGCATTCTGATTTTATAATTAAGAGACGGGTATTTAAAGACGAGAAGTTGTTGGCGACTGTATAATACGTTTGGAATTGGCGATATGTCAAAATTATTTGCTGATTTGGTGACCTTATTGTGATAAATTTGTTTTACAGAGCGTAATCGACACTAACTAGTAATGCGATTGGAAATGGACAAGAATTAATGGATGTTTGTTCATTGTTAAATTGATTAATCGGTGATTTAGCGTTTTAATTGCTTTTAACAAACATCAGCTGACCTTTATGAATTCTTTAGTAAAATATTGGTTTAGATAATAAAATAGAACGCTAAAAAATATGTCGAGAGAGATTTACGTTGTAAACAACGATATTTTGGGTGTCCAGATTATTTCGGAAATACCGTCAAACACAGGTCTAAATGTTTTCCATTTGTCACTCTTTAAGTTTGAATGACGTAAATTAGTGCTTAATTTATCTTATTTTCAAGTTAAGTTAGCACTATTTCGTATACCTACACTAGGAGTCCAGATTTTTGCAAATTCTTTCGAAAATACAGCACGGGACGTCAAAGATTCTTTCAAAAACAATGCATCAGGGGTCTCTGAAATTTTTTCAAATTTTCTAAAAAAAAAACAATCCTCCACATTCTTTCATACTGTTAAAAAAGCCCACACTGGCGAGTCTTTTCAAATTCTTCCAAAAGTAACACATAAAAAAAAAAACAAGATTCTTTCATATTAAAAAAAAACATATACACGTCAAGGACCCCCCAAAGATTCTTTCAAACTCTTCCAAAAATAAAGACCTAGAGTCTCCGATATTCTTTTCAAATTCTTTTAAAAATAACACAGAAAGGAGACCCTAAAGATTCTCACATGTTCTCAAAGATTCTTTCAATTTTTTTCAAAACAAATCACCAGGGGCCTCGAAATTCTTTTCGAAATCTCTCAAAGATGACACACAGATTCTTTCAAAATTTTCCAGAAATAAAGCACCAGGGGTCGTTCAAATTCTTTTAACCTTCACGATTCTTTCATATTAAAAAAAAGATACATATACCAAAACCCTTTAAAATTTTTTCAAACTTCTTCAAAATTAGAGACCTAGGCCACCCGAGATGACTTTCAAGTTCTTTTAAAAATAACACAGAGAGGAGGATTTCATGTTCATAAAAAGACACACTCTGGGCCTCAAACAATTTTTCAAACTCTTTCAAAAACAAGATACCAGGGGTCAACGAGATTCTTTTAAAGATAACACATAGAGGACTCCAAAAATCATTTCAAACTCTTTCAAAAACAAGATACCAAGGAACCCCGAGATTCTTTTCAAACTCTCTCAAAAATAACAAACGAAGGACCCGAAAAATTCTCTTTCTAAAATAAATCACTAGAAATCTTCAAAATTCTTTCTCAAATCCTTTTATATAAAAAAATACACACACCAAGGATCCCGAAAATTCTTTTAAACTCTTTCAAAAACAAAACACCAGAGGCTTCGAAATTCTTTTCAAATTCTCTCAAAGATAACACACATAGGATCGAAGATTCTTTCAAATTCTTTAAAAATTCCAGACGTCCCCGAGATTCTTTTCAAATTTTCTCCAAGATAAGATACAACGGACCTCAAAAATGCTTTCAGACTCTTTCAAAAACAAGACACCAGGGGATCCCCAACATTCTTTTCAAATTCTCTCAATGATAACACACATAAGATCAAAGATTCTTTCAAACTTTTTCAAAAACAGGACACCAGGGGTCACCAAAATTCTTTTCAAATTCTCTCAAAGATAAGACACAAAGAACTTCAAAGATTCTTTCAAACTCTTTCAAAAACAAGACACCACGGGATCCCTGAGATTCGTTTTAAATTCTCTCAAAGATAACACACAAAAGATTCTAAAGATTCTTTCAAACTCTTTCAAAAGCAAAATACCAGAAGTCTCCGAGATTCTTTTCAAATTCTCTCAAAAATAGCACACATACGATCAAAGATTCTTTCAAAAGCAAAATACTACAGGTCCCAGAGATTCTTTTCAAATTTTCTCCAAGATAAGACACAAAGGATCCCAAAAATTCTTTCAGACTTTCAATAACAAGACACCAGAGGGTCCCCGAGATTCTTATCAAATTCTCTCAAAACTAACATACATAGGATCAAAGATTCTTTCAAACTATTTCAAACGCAAAATACCTGAGGTCCCCGAGATTCTTTTCAAATTCTCTCCAAGATAAGACACAAAGGACTTCAAAGATTCTTTCAGACTCTTTCAAACACAAGACACCACGGGATCCTTGAGATTCTTTTTAAATTCTAGAAATCTCCGAGATTCTTATCAAATTCTCTCCAAGATAAGGATCCACAAAGGATCCCAAAAATTCTTTCAGACTCTTTCAAAAACAAGACACCAGAGAGTCCCCGAGATTATTTTCAATATCTCTGAAAGGTAACACACAAAGGATCCTAAAGATTCTTTTAAACTCTTTCAAAAGCAAAATCCAAAAACTCCCCGAGATTCTTTTCAAATTCTCTCAAAAATAACACACAAAGGATCAAAGATTCTTTCAAACTCTATCAAAAGCAAAATACTAGAGGACCCCGAGATTCTTTTCAAATTATCTCCAAGATAAGACACAAAGGACCCAAAAAATGCTTTCAAACTCTTTCAAAAATAACACCAGGGGATCCCTGAGATTCTTTTCAAATTCCCTTAAAGATAACACACAAAGGATCCTAAAGATTCTTTCAAACTCTTTGAAAACCAAAATACCAGAAGTCCCCGAGATTCTTTTCAAATTCTCTCAAAAATAAAACACAGGATCAAAGATTCTTTCAAACTCTTTCAAAAGCAAAATATCAGAAGTCCGCGAGATTCTTTTCAAATTCTCTCAAAAATAACACACATAGGATCACAGATTCTTTCAAAAGCAAAATACCAGAGGTCGCCGAAATTCTTTTCAAATTCTCTCCAAGATAAGACACAAAGGACCCCAAAAATGCTTTCAAACTCTTTCAAAAACAATACTAGGAGATTCCTGAGATTCTTTTCAAATTCCCTTAAAGATAACACACAAAGGATCCTAAAGATTCTTTCAAACTCTTTCAAAAGCAAAATACCAGAAGTCTCCGAGATTCTTTTCAAATTCTCTCAAAAATAACACACATAGGATCACAGATTCTTTCAAAAGCAAAATACCAGAAGTCGCCGAAATTCTTTTCAAATTCTCTCCAAGATAAGATACAAAGGACCCCAAAAATGCTTTCAAACTCTTTCAAAAACAACACCAGCGAATCCCCGAGATTCTTTTCAAATTCCCTTAAAGATAACACAAAAAGGATCCTAAAGATTCTTTCAAACTCTTTGAAAACCAAAATACCAGAAGTCCTCGAGATTATTTTCAAATTCTCCCAAAAAATAACGTACATAGAATCAAAGATTCCATCAAACTATTTCAAAAGCAAAATACCAGAAATCGCCGAGATTCTTTTCAAATTCTCTCAAAAATAACACACATAGGATTACAGATTCTTTCAAAAGCAAAATACCAGAGGTCCCAGAGATTTTTTTCAAATTCTCTTCAGGATAAGACACAAAGAATCCCAAAAATTCTTTCAAACTCTTTCAAAAACAAGACACCGGAGGGTCCCTGAGATTCTTTTCAAATTCTCTCCAAGATAAGTAATAAAGGACCCCAAAAATGCTTTCACCCTCTTTCAAAAACAAACTCCTTGAGACTTCGAAATTATTTTCAAATTCTCTCAAAAATAACACACATAAGATCAAAGACTCTTTCAAACTCTATCAAAAGCAAAATACCAGAGGACCCCGAGATTCTTTTCAAATTCTCTCCAAAATAAGACACAAAGGACCCCAAAAATGCTTTCAAACTCTTTCAAAAACAACACCAGCGAATCCCTGAGATTCTTTTCAAATTCCCTTAAAGATAACACACAAAGGATCCCAGAAGTCCTGGAGATTCTTTTCAAATTCTGTCAAAAATAACATACATGGATCAAAGATTCTATCAAACTCTTTCAAAAGCAAAATACCAGAAATCTCCGAGATAGATTCTTTTCAAATTCTCTCAAAAATAATACACATAGGATCATAAGTCCTTTCAAAAGCAAAATAGCAGAGGGTCCCTGAGATTCTTTTCAAATTTTCTCCAAGATAAGTAATAAAGGACCCCAAAAATGCTTTCAGACTCTTTCAAAAACATACACTTTGAAATTCTTTTCAAATTCTCTCCAAATAATACAAAGGACCCCAAAAATTCTATCAAACTCTTTCAAAAACAAAAACCAGGGGATCGCCGACATTTTTTTCAAATTCTCTCAAAAGAAATATACAAAGGACCTCAAAGATTTTTTCAAACTCGTTCAAAAACAAAACACCGAGAGTTGCTGAATTTCTTTGCAAATTCTCTAAAAAAACTCACACAAAACTTTCCAGATTCTTTCAAAATCTTTAAAAAACAAGACATAAAAAAGCCCCAAGATCCTTTTACACTCTTAAAAAACAAAACACCAAGACCTATCGAAATTTTTTCAATTTCTTTCAAAAATCAGACATAAACAGAGTGGAAGATTCTTTCATGTTCTTAAAAAAACACTAGATCTCAAGATTCTTTCACTCTCCTTCTAAAACAAAACACTGTCGAATCCATGAGATCATTTAAAATTCTTTCAAAAATTGCACATC